AGGGCTGCCCTCTAGAGGTAGCTGGGGATCCCTCTCCGGTAGAATCCCTGGATTGTGCAGAGCCGGCTCTGCGCTAGCCACTCCCAACACACCTCCCAGCCAGCATGCTCCAGAGGTGGAAGTGGGCGTGGTCTTTGCAGGGGTTGGCAGAGCCCTACAGTGATTCCGGGCTGTCAATGCATCTCCTGTTCTTAGCACATCGTCTGACCCCATATTTACAAGGGCCTGCATGATGCTACCTCATCCCAGGGCCCAAGGCACAATCTCTCTCTCAATGTAACTGTGATCGCACCTGATGAGTTTCCCTGGAGAGCGTTCCCTGGTTCCAGAATCTTTCTGATTTATTAAATCTTTCCAACGCGAGCTACACGGCAACCACAGGAAAGCAACCCCTGGTGTTTCATAAACCCAGTGCAGGTTCAGTCACCTCTGTTCTTGTCGTCCCGACACCTCAAAATATGCTTCCTGCAAAGTTTCCTGTAGGCAGCTTCACCGTGGCCACGTTCTGGCTGTAAGACTGTTCCCTTTTTTGATTTGTACTTTGCTCTTCATAGTTCCCTCCTCATTTCTGTTTTTAAACCAGTGCGCTCACTTCAGCAGATTTGTTGACGAACTCACCCAATACACTACAAGGAACATCCTTGCAACTCCCATCACGAACGGCAAAGATCTAGTTGCTGTGATCATGGCCGTTAATAAGACGCAAGGGCCGTTCTTCACCAACTCTGACGAAAATGTAAGTGTCCGAAAGACCCAGTGTAGGTCAGTTTCTGTCAGGCTTGTATCTCATAATATACCTCATCCAGGCTCCTCTGGACGAGGGCTGGACGAGGGCTGTTTGCAATATTGTAGCTTCCCTGATAGACCAGGGTTTTCAATCTGCAGTTCGTGGACTCCTAGGCCCTGCAGACTATATCTAAGAGATCTACACGAGGTGACTATGAATATAAAGTTTCATGCCCTAGGAAAGGTATTCCATTTTTCTGATCTGTCAGAAGTATGTGCTTCCTCCACCTACATCTCAAAACCTGGAAGCGTTGTCATTATCATAGAGGCCCACAGTTCAACGCTCTTTCTCTCACAGTGGCACACGATGTGTAAGCATGTGCAACATTTACAAGTGAACTCTGTTAAGTCCATTTACAGCCTCGACATCTATGGCAGGGGTCCGTGGACCACAGGCTGAGTTTCCAAAGGGGCCTGCACTTCCATTCCAAGTTGTTTAGGGGTCCACAAATGAGAAAAGATTTAACTCCCCCCCCCAGCTGTAGACATTACTGTATTGTAAATCGGGCTTACGGTGGTAGAGCTTGCCTGAATAAATTACCAGGGCAAGGCCCACTGGCAGCAAGCCTCATCTGACATCAGCACAAAGCAAAGTATTTACACGGGTTGCTTGACATGAGTGTGCGTGACAGACGAATGTGGTTGCAGTGGTGCTATGAAATCCAGTACTCATGGGGCCACTGTTGGGTTCAACTCAACACGGACTGTTTTCCATTTCAGCTCTTCCTGAGGTATCTGAATCTTGCCTCCTTAAACCTGAAAATTTATCATTTGAGTTACCTTCACAACTGTGAGACTCGAAGAGGCCAGGTAAGATACAAGGGCAGATGCTGGTAACTGTTTCACTGTTGAGGTGCTGAGCTATTTCTCCTGTTCCCTCAGCCAGGCCTGAATATTCCTGTTTCTCCAGTCCGAGAGGTAACGGCTACAGCCTGGCCATCCTCTCAGACTCAGTAGTGGGTACAAGTGTCTGGGAGCGCCCAGCCTAAGGCAGGACCGGGGGTTGTTTTTTGGAGTGGTAGAACCATTTGTCCATTCTATTAGCAATTCTTACAGGATTACTCAGCATTAGCTTTACTTGCCCTTTAATTCCGCGGAACAAAAATGCTAAATACACAGGATTTCTGAGGAACTAAATTACTTAATAACAATGCTAAGTTAGTCAGTTAGGGTATGTCTACACTACCCCGCTAGTTCGAACTAGCGGGGGTAATGTAGTCATCCGCAGTTGCAAATGAAGCCCGGGATTTGAATTTCCCGGGCTTCATTTGCATGAAGCCGGCAGGCGCCATTTTTAAATGCCGGCTAGTTCTAACCCCATGCCGCGCGGCTAAACGCGGCACGGAGTAGCTAGTTCGGATTAGGCTTCCTAATCCGAACTAGCTGTACTCCTCGTGGAACTGTACTCCTCCTAGTTTTTTGGATGTAATATTTTACTGCAAGTTACTTACAGAAGCAACAATTGCCTCTTGTGAGTGACTTTTAAAATAGCAGGTAATTTATGAATAGGACCATAATTTTGCATTACACAGCTCTAACAAGACATCTTACAAAATGTTTAATGTTAGACTAACTCTGCTCCTAATGAAAAAAAGTCTCACCCTATCAATCAAGCTGGAACAAGCAGTGTTAGTAGACTCTAGTATTTATTTCTAGGAATCGGTGGTAATTAATTATTGACATGTAGTCCCAAGTATTGTTAGCTTTCCAGAAGGGGCTGCCTATACATCTGGTTTTATTCTTCAGGTGCTGTTGTGGTCAGCTAATAAGGTATTTGAGGAGCTGACGGATATCGAGAGGCAGTTCCACAAAGCTTTTTACACTGTGAGAGCGTATTTGAACTGTGATAGATATTCAGTGGGCCTTCTCGATAGGACCAAACAGAAGGTGAGCATTCACGTGTGTGCTACAATAACACAGTGAGGGTTTTAGGTTGCTGCTAAATGTAAATAGGGCAATTTCTGTTCAGACACAACTTAATTCCAGTGTATCATATTCTGGGGTACAGACCAATAGGGGGCAATATTACCTCAGCATGCTTCCAACTTGCGGTGTCCACCACTAACCAGCCAGGTTATCCCCTGACTGTGTATAACCACAGCTTGGTCCGGCAGCCGACTAGCATATACCGTGGTTGTCACTTGCAGGGTGACCCCCGCACACTTGTAGTCATTAATTTTCCCTCCAAAAATGTGTTCTGCACTGTCCAGCACCCTTTCTTGGACAGTCCAGCAAGATTAGGTCCATTGCCACTTTAAGTGGAGTTACCCAAACATTTCACTACATTGCATTAGTTTCGGTGAAAGAATAAAACACATGTATTGAACTACAAAGAGATTTTGAGTCTAAGGAATGAGGCAATGAAGTCAGAAATGGTTACAAGATAAAAGACCTCCCAAACTTAAACTAGATCCGGTTCAAAGTGAAATCGCTGATCAGTAACATTGCTGACCGAACTGTGAGATCCGAGTCTGCTCCCAGAGTTCTTTAGTTGTTTTGTCTTCTTAGTATCTAAAAGGTCATTACAAGGAGGAGGGAGAAAATTTGCTCCCTTTAACCTCTGGTGACAGGACAAGAAGTAATGGGCTTAGATTGCAGCAAGGGGGGGGGTTAGGTTGGACATGAGAAAAAATTTCTTGTCAGGGTGGTTAAACACTGGAATAAATTGTATAGGGAGGTTGTGGAATCTCCATCATTGAAGATATTTAAGAGCAGATTAGACAGATCTGTCAGGGATGGTCTTGGGTGCGGAACCTTTTTTGAGTCGGGGCCACTGACCCACAGAAAAATCAGTCAGGGGCTGCACACAAGTGAGAAACAAAAAAACCCCACCCCTCACCAGCGTGGGCTCCCCTAATCTGGGGGGAGCCCCGAGCCTCAGGGGCTGGATCCAGGCAAGCTGGAGGCTGCATCTGGCCCCTGGGCCTTGGGTTCCCCACTCCTAGTCTAGATGGTGCTTAGTCCTGCCATGAGGGCAGGGGACTGGACTTGATGACCTCTCGAGGTCCCTTCCAGTTCTAGTGCTCTGTGAGGCCTGGGGCCACATGCTGAACAATGAGAAGAAAACAAAATAATGAATTAAGTTTGCACCATCTATCCTGTGCACCAACTGAGACAGGGGGCCAAATTAAGGTTTCCCCAGTTACCTTAATTTTGGCATGTTCCTACTATCCACAGTCCTTGAACTGGCAACATTAATATTTTAATGCTGGTTTTGATTTAATTTAGAGATTTAACATAGAGGTGCATGGCAAATCATAACACCGCATAGAACCCCAACTGTTTTAATGTCCTGTCGCAGACAGACTGATTTATATATTACAACTATATGTTTTGGGGGGGGGGTTAAACAGGAGTTTTTCGACTTGTGGCCAGTTCTAATGGGCGAAGTTCCACCTTATTCCGGGCCTCGCACTCCAGACGGCAGAGTAAGTGGATGACCCAGTATCCTCCCCCGCCCCCAACTGTTGACGCTCGCCATGAGCTTGAACCAGGATTTTGTTTCTTTGTAGGAAATAGTCTTTTACAAAGTGGTTGATTATATCCTGCATGGGAAGGAAGATATTAAAGTTATCCCGTGAGTAAGCGAAGCTTCTGCACCAGGGGTAAAGCTCTTTCCATTGCACGGACTGATAGGATGTGTCTCTGAAAGTGAAGGGTCTCCCATGAGCTAATGAACCGGGGCACAGCTGAAGGAACAATGGAAGATGGACTTGTCGGGTTCAACGTGCATCAGTATCGATCGGTTGCTTCTATTTACTGGGAATTCCGGTTAAAATGTAACAAGCAGGTGCCTTTATCACTCGGATAGAACCTGCTCCCCTGTTAAGTCCTGCTTTTGCGGATGCTCAAGTCCACCTTTCCATTCCTATCTCCTTCTGCCAACTCCTGTGTCACCAGCTGTCCCTCGACTGGCCTCTGGAGTTTGGACTTCGCACAATCACAGGGGTGATACCGTAAATAGCTCCCGGCCAATCCTCCTCTCTCCTGCCCTTCTCAGTCACTGACAAGTTCTCTGTCCTCCCTGTCGCATAGGTTCTGTCCCAAAGCCGACTCTATTCTTCCCATGAGATCTTCCGTGTTGGCCTTTGTCGTCTCTTGACAGCTCCTTCTTTAGCTTGCCCCCTTCAAACTTTCCTCAGCCTCCGAATTAACGCTGCTGAGAAGTGCATCTCCCAGTCGGACTATGTCAGCCCCTTCCCTGAGCCACAACTAGCATCCTCTCGCCAGCCACTTCCTTTAAACACAGTCCCAGTCCCGTTTCCTATCTAGTTACACTTTATTACGCTCTAGAGGAAAAACTGGGAACTGACTGGAATACGCCATACAATATTGAACTCTTTGAATCTTCTAAATCATCCATTGCCACGTGAGTTGATAGCGAGTCTGGTCCTATGAATTGTAAGTTATGTGAGCAATCCTTGCTCAAACTAATAAATCCTTTGAAATCAACAGGACTAGATGCTTGACTAAAGATTAGCCATGTGAGTAAGTAATTAACCAGCTATGTTCTGGCTCTATGAAAATATCTGTGTAAATTATCTATATCTATATCTATATCTATATATATATATTCTCCATCTTTATATTTTTATTATACGCACTCTCTTGTTTTATTCAGAAACCCCACAGCAGATCACTGGGCACTTGCTACTGGACTACCAACGTATGTAGCAGAAAGCGGCTTTGTAAGTATTTGATTAGAGCTTCATTGAGGGTTCCAGAAAGTCAAATTCATGTTTGATCGCTCTTCAGTAACTGAAAATAATTTAGCTGCTTTAGCGAGGTCTAAATATTGAGTATTTGCAAAGGAAGTTATTTAACTTTATGCAGGCTTCTTTGTAATGTGAACTATTTTGGTGATCTTCTAGATCTGCAACATTATGAATGCGGCTGCAGATGAGATGTTTAAATTTCAGGTACTGTGAAAGCTGCCATAGCTCTTAATAACCCTTTTTTTAAAATATATGTACCGTAGATTAAGTTTTAGAGGTATAAATTTCTGTAATTGTTGCATTCCTGAGTTCACTTAAGGAGATGCACTTAGAAAACACATTTTACATCTTCGACATCTTCCTGCTTGCTTTTGTTTCAAGGAAGGTCCTGTAGATGATTCGGGATGGACAATCAAAAATGTGTTATCTATGCCAATAGTAAACAAAAAAGAAGAAATTGTTGGGGTCGCCACATTTTATAACAGAAAAGATGGGAAGCCATTCGATGAACAGGATGAGACTCTCATGGAGGTACAAATACCTGCCAGCTCTGAAAGTAGCTTAGGGGTGAAATGGGAATACTGCATAATCCTCAGTGGTGTGTGCGGTCTCCAATGTTTGGCAGCCCCCAAATATTTTCTTTGATTGTACAGATGTAGCTCTGGGTTTAAGAAATCCTGTCCTTTGACTCTCTACACTGTGCAGCCTGGCCAGACATCTCAGCTAAGGGAAAAGCATATCCTGAGTGTAAACAGCTCTTGAAACAGCTGCACTGCCCATGTGCATCTGCCTCAGTTTGGGGGCAACACCGTTTCAAGGAATTTCAGTCCAAGAGAAATCCCTTTTATATTGATGCCTGTTGGTTTCTTTCCAGCCAACCAGAATAACAATAGTTCCTTAAAGGATGAGGCCTTTGAATGTTTAGACAATTGTAACAAAAGGGAATCGAGAGAGTTACAGGGTGTCCCTGCTATAAGTCGTCCCAGTATACATCCGTTCCTCACTAAAGTCGTTGACGCTTGTAGGAACTGATGCGTTATAAGTCCTCCCATTTCCTGCCCTTAAGCCGTTCAAAAAAACAAACAAACAAACCCCAATTTGTGCAAACAGAAGTCAGCCGCAGTAAAAAAAAAATCTCCACATTAAGCTGTTTTGCTAGAAGTCCACGTTTTTTGGAACGTATCTTGGACTTATAGCGAGGACAGCAGTTCGCAGTTCCAGGAAAGTCTAGACATAACTTTGTTAAACCACCTGTTAGGTCTGTAGCCTGTCCCTCAGCATCTCTGCTGAACGATGGGTCCTGCAGCACTAATGTCTTTAAGCTTGATCCTGCAGCCCTTACTCACAAATAATCATGACTCCCCTGATGAGTCGCAAAGGATACCAAGATATTACTCACTCCAGCAGGCAGTTCTCACTTAGGGTTTGTACAAGCCGGTCCTTCATTGGGTACGTCTAGACTACATGGCTCCATCAACGGAGCCATGTAGATTTGTTTGTTTGGCAAAGGGGAATTAAGCCGCGATTTAAATAATCGAGGCTTCATTTAAATTTAAATAGCTGCCCCACTCTGCCGATCAGCTGTTTGTCGGCAGATCGGGGCAGTCTGGACGCACCCCTGTTGACATGAAAGCCCTTTATCGACCTCCCCGGTAAACTTCATCCTACGAGGCATAACGGGGAGGTCAATAAAGGGCTTTCAGGTCGGCGCGGGAGCATCCAGACTAGCGTGCTGAGCCGACAAACAGCTGATTAGCTGTTTGTCAGCTCAGCGCGGCAGCCATTTAAATTTAAATGAAGCCACGATTATTTAAATCGTGGCTTCATTTCCCTCTGTCAATCAGCCTAATCTACATGGCTCAATCGACGGAGCCATGTAGTTTAGACACACCCAATATTATGACTTCATTCATCAGAGAGCAACTTGGAATAGCAATGCACCCAAACTGCACTGTTTCAACTACAGGTGGAACCTCCTTGGTCCGGCACCCTTGGGACCTGAGTGGTCCCGGTGAGGGTTTTCTGGACCAGGGAAGGTCCCCTGCCACCGGCCCCCTCAGCCTGCTTCCCCTCTCCACCACCAGCACCTTCGGTCCTGCTGCCGGCCGGGCAACATGGCTATCCCGGCCCCGCTGCCACAACTGCAGCCCCAGCCCTGCTGCTGGCTGAACACAGCCCCCGTTACGCTGCTGACCTGTCATGGCACCAGATGGGTTGTTGCGGCCCCAGCTCCACTGCCGCAGTCAGGCCTTACTGACAGCCAGGCTGCCGGGGCGCTGTCCACACCACCTGCTGGCACGCAGCCCCAATCGGGCTGCCATGGCACAAACCCACTGCCAGGGTGGCACACACAGGCTGCCCTTACCCTGCAACCGCCATCGGGCCACCGAGGCCCAGCTGTGCAACAACCAGCCTTGCCTTTAGCAATGCTCTCAGCGGCTGGCCCTCCTGCCCACGGCTCTCTTGTTCAGCGATATCTGTGGTCCTGCTGGACGAGAGTCCTGGATTAGGGAGGTGCAACCTCTATCAGTTTCCAAGCACAGACTTAAACCCAGGGCCAGCCTTACCATGAGGCGAATTGAGGCGATCGCCTCAGGTGCCAGACTGCGGGTGCCACTAGGACCCAGAGTGTAGAAAATTGTGTCTGTTGCTGGTACATATGTATTCTCTCTGCTCTAGATGCACAGAGATGGTGGAGTGCTGTTCTGGAGGAAGGAGGGCACAAAGAACAGGAAGGAGGCAGAATTGAGACCTTTCAAAGTTTTGGCCCAAGCAAGGGGGCATGGGGGTGTCATTTCAGCTCCCTGCCTCAGATGCCAAAATGTTGTGGGCCGACTGCTTAAACCCCCTGACTGTAGCTTTTTATTTGGGACACACACACACACGGCGGGATCTGTGTTTTACACACACACACACACACACACACACACACACACGGAGGGTTCTGTGTTTTACCACCTAACATAAAGCAGTAAGGGGGCTGGATGCTTTGTTCACACCCATCACACAGACGTGTCATAGACGGGTTTCGGGATGTGTGAGACAGGGAGTATGTTTCCCTTAGAAACAAGCCAATACTCATCAGTGCGATACTTTTACGTGCTGAAGCAGGGTTCAGCTCTTTCACTGTCTCTCTGCTTTTTCTTTTTCAAGTCTTTGACCCAATTCCTGGGCTGGTCTGTGCTCAACACGGACACTTACGACATGATAAACAAGCTGGAGAACCGCAAGGACATTGCCCAGGACATGGTGCTGTACCACGTGAAGTGCAACAAGGATGAAATTCAGGAAATCCTGGTACTGCTTGTGGTTGGTTGTCAGAGCCCAAAGGTTGCCTGCTTAAATGGGAAAGAACTCGCCGCGTGCATCCCTAAGGCCCGCTTCACTACTGTGCGAGCTTCCATTGCGTCATGGCCTGTCGGCCTGCTAGTGAAGGGGCCCTAGTCTCTCCTGTCCCACCCTTGTCAGAGCTGTGATAGCTTCAGTAGGGACAGATCCATGTAGCTTCTTCCCAGGAGCTTCCAGAGCGCCATTTAGCAACACCCTGCACAGCGAGGTAGCCCTTGCTATGTGCATCGAAGGTGGTAAGGCTTCTGTTCCACCAAGGCTGAGCAAAAAGAATTGCATTGCTGAAGAACTTCTGCAATTAACTTTCGCTTCCTACGTACGCATGCATGATGTCGCCACCTCTCAGGTGGGAGGCAGCTGCCCAGTGGACAGTCAGGCTCAGCATGTTGCACAAAGTTTGGGCAGGGTGGCGAGACATTAGGCAAGGAAAAGCAACTGGTCTATGCTTTGTATTAACAATGTTATCTCAGTGCTAGCTCTGCAAATTCACCGTAGGCCAGGGGTGGGCAATAATTTTTGACGGGCCACTCCCAGATTTTGGAAAGTGGTGGAGAGCTGCACTCTCCCATGATATTAATGGTGGAGATGTGGGGTCTGGGATGGAGGTTGGTGCAGAAGGGAGCTTGGGGTAAGGGATTGGGGCGCAGGAGGGAGACTAGAGTCTGGGAAGGAGTTTGGCTGAAGGAGGAGGTTGTGACCTAGGCCAGGGGACTGGAGTGCAGAGGTTTGGGATGTGACATAAGGTAGGAGGGGATTGTGATCTGGGGCAGAAGATTGGGGTGCCAGATCAGGGAGGAGGTGTGGGTGTAAGAGGGGGACAGAGGGTTTGGGTTATGTTGAGTGTGGGGAGGGGCAGAGATTTGGGGCAGGAAAGGGCTGGGGTGACAGAAGCAGGCTGTGGCCAAGAGACTTACTTGCCAGCTGCCAAACCAGCCTGCCTGCAGAGGTTAAAATGTTTCCCAGCCAGCCTGCCTGCCTGGCCATGTGCTTCATGGATAACTGAGCCCAGGAGAGGGGGCGTGGTTCTTCTTACCTGACAGTTACTCTAACAAACAGCTCCCATTGGCCGGTTTCTGCCAGAAACTGGCCAATGGGAATGTGCTGGGGGCAGGGATGCTCCTAAAACTTCCCGTCCCCTCCAGTTTCAAAACAGAAAGGGAGCCCTGCAGCCGCATTTCTCCCCGGCGCACGGGACTGTCTGCCTGAGGCTCCCTGCTGCCTCCGTGGGCTGGATCCGGTGGCTTGGCGGGCCGCATCCGGCCTGCGGGCCGTATTTTGCCCAGGCCTGCCCTATGCTCTGAGAGCAAAGATGAGTTCTTTCCTTACCGGGTGTAAGCAGCTTTGTAGGACCAATCAAGTTCTCGCTACATCTGTGCAACTCCGTTAGCTGTTGCTCTGTTCCCTGAGATTTCAGTAAGAGCCACTCGGATGAATGGCCCTGAACAGGCAGAGGTGAGAGCGTAGTTGAACCGACAGGATCTTTGCTCTTTGTGACGATGCTGGAGACAGAGAACCCAGCTTGAGCGTCGGTCTCCGGAATGAGTTTGGAGGACCAACAGTTTTTCCACTTGAGAACAGAGCAAGTTCTACACTGGTGTCAGAGAGAGAGCTGGTCTGTGTATGGGAGCCCCACCACCATCACTGCTAGGGTCTCTTGGAGTCAGAACTGCCCCCTAAGATTAGAAATGTGAGTACGGTTCAGGGGAGAACATGCCTTTGGAAGTCAGACTAGATGCCACCCCAAACAGGTGCTGCTTTAGTGCTGATTGTGGAGTTGCTGGTGAAAGTAACGTGCTCTTGATCTCTGTAGCCAACGCGAGAGAGGCTGGGGAAAGAGCCGGCGCAATGCGAAGAGGAGGAATTGACGCAATTGCTGGTGAGTGCCCATGCGCTGTTGACTTGACAGTAAAGGCAAGTCAGAATGCACGTGGCAGAAGGAGGAGAATGCTATGTTTGAGTCAGCGGAGAGAATGCAGCAGCAGAAACTTGGCTTACCTTTTGGAGAAGACCCACTTGAGGCTTTTTGTGGCCTGGCAAAGCCACCAGCCCCCTTCTTTCTTTTTCAGAAAAAGGAGCTCCCGGACCCCGTTCAGTTTGAGATCTACGAGTTCCACTTCTCCGATTTCAAGTGCACCGAACTTGAGCTTGTGAAGTGCGGAATTCAGATGTACTACGAGCTCGGAGTGGTGAAAAAGTTCCAGATTCCACAAGAGGTAGGTGTTGGTTTCCGGGTGACGTTACCAAGACATGCCTGGGGACTCCCAGCCTACTTCAGTCCCCCAGGGAGGGACCAGGAGCTATTGATTTACAATGAGTGATCTGCTACATCCCTACCAGAGCAGGGGTCCTGAAGATGGAGTTACAAACCCTCAGCCTTTCCCCCACAGTGCTAAGTGGAAGGGAGCCCCGTAAGGAAGAGGCTGAAGCCACTGCCTCACAAGAACAGTACATTTGCAGGGACTATAAAGTCCCTCTTCAGAACGACCTTGCTTTGCAAAGGGCAGCGCAATCTTAGAAGCAGTCGTGCTAACAAAAGGCTGTTGCAGCGGGACAAGTGGAGATTATTGCTACTAGTGGACACTGGCTGTAAAAGTTCTGCAAATTCAAGCAAACTCCCACAGAGCCTGGAGATTCCCCGCTGTCCCATGCCTTGGATAGTCATGTACAAACAGCAACCACCATTTGAAAAGAACGGTAGATTGCAATTTGGCACAGTGTTACCCAGAATAAGTGACTATAACACGGCCAGACTGGGTCAGACCAGCATCTAGTCCAGTATCCTGTCCTCTTGCCAATGGCCAATGCCAGGTATTTCAGAGGGAAGGGACCACAGAATGTACCAGGTAAGGTAGGAACGAGGAAGTGGATGCAGGCCCTGTCTTGCCTGGATCCGGCCCTCAAAGCTCAGGGTCCCCCCCCCAGCATTGGGAAGCCCGGGCTGGCACTCTAGACCCCCCCGTCCGGCTTCCTGTGGGGCTGGAGCACACAAAATCTACTAGCCTGGGCCGCCGTAGGCTCTGGTGTGTGTTGGGAATGTGAGAAGTGTCTTTCTCCTTCTCAGCCAGGGGCCACGTCTGTGAAGGTTTGATCTGTTTTTTATTTTATTTTCTTTCTGAGCAGCCCCTGACTGATTTTTCTATGGGTCAGTGGCCTCTGACCCAAAAAAAGGTGCCCCACCCCTGAGGTAAAGGACCGCCGGGCCCTTAGCCCAGCTTAACGCTGAGATATTGAGTGTGGTCATCTCAAATATTTTGGCTTCCAAACTAAACGGCCCGAGATTTTAGACTCCACGGTTCTCTAACACTCAAATAGGGCAGTGACCGTCTGGTAGGCACCGGAGTTTACAAAGTCTCTGAACTCAAGTCCGAGAACGCTTCTCTCCCCCTACCCCCCACCCACTGACTTCAGTGAGCGCGGAGGACACTTGATATCCCGGAGGTCGGGCTCAGAGAGATCAGTGCGTAACGAGGCACAGACAAACATGTGAGGCTGCTTTGCTAACAGGAGCACCCAGTTCCACAGAATTGCTTTAAACAAAATAGCATCCCTGGAGTTCAGAAGAGATATCCGTCTTTATTCTGGGTATTCGCTAACCTCTAACCAAGGGGGGTGGGAAGAAATTCTGCTAGGGACACTTAGGCCTTGGAATTCCCACGTCAGGGCTTCTTGGTCCTTCAGAAATAGGATATCAGACGAGAAGGGACTGTTCACCAGATCTTTTGTTATTAAAATTACAAATTATTTACAGCTTGATACTAAAAAGCAGGCTCCCTTCATGGGCAGAGAACTGTACTGGCTATGATCTCAGAACTACCTCGCTCTGTGCTATCACAAGAATCACTGCCTTTTTATTACGCCCATGCACAATGCTCCTCCCATGCCTTTGGGACAGAGTCCGGGAAAGAGAGAAGGAGAATAAGGCTGGCACTGAACAGGGGTTCTGCCTGCACTTAGAGTATCACTTTGCTACTCTACTGCCGGACACAGAACACAACGCTGAATCACCACTGAAATGGTAGGAAAAAAGAGAACAGAAAAATGGTGCTCAGGGAGGGATTATGAAACAATATTTATCCAAGAGCGGCCCGAGGCCGGCTGCAGCAGCTGGTGCCCTAGGCGGGGGGGCCCTGCCTGCACGGCCGTCAATGGCCATGACGTCATCATCGGGTGCCCGGGCCAGCAGCACCCTAGGCAGCTGCCTAGCTCGCCTAGGCTCACGGGCCGCCCCTGTATTTATCACCATTAGACACTAGACTACAGGCAGAAACCAATGCCACCCACGGGTGTGTCTACACTCAGGGCTTAACTCCAAATAAGCGACCCAAATTGAGCTACGTCAATTGCGTATCTCATTTTAAAATACAAATAGCTTATTTGCAAATAGCGAGCATCTACGCTGCACCTATTTCGAAATAGAGCACTCGTCCTCCGACTTCCCTTACTCCTCGTACAATGAGGGTTACAGGAGTTGGAGTAAGAAGTCCTCCAGCTTGGCAATATTTTGACACTATTTCAAAGTAACTGCCTGCTGTTTCGATGCAGACCATGTTATTTCGGAATAGTGCGAATTATTTCAAAATAGTGTTGTGATGTAGATGTACCCCAAGTAGCCAACCCTTTTCTATTATACAATTAGGCTACATCTACACTACGAGTTTTCTCAGCAAAAAGTATGCAAATGAGGGGCTAATTTGCGTGAGTTGCAATCTCATTTGCATATTTCCTGCCAATCTGTTTTGGCAGTGGGGTTTTTGCGCAAAAACAAGCAGTGTGGACATTTTCTTTTTGCGCAAAAAACCCTTTTTCTGCAAGATCCTTATGCCCCAAAAAAGGAGGTAGACATAGCCTTAGAGTCACTCAAACACCAGAGCATCAAAATCTTATATCTGATGTTTTCCTCACCAAGTTATTTCCCCTCATTCTTTCCATAGCTCTGTGAAACGGCTTTCTCCCTAATACTAACTAATCAAACAGAGCACATGCATTTTAAAGAGCCCCAGCCTCCTCCCCTTCCCAACCTGCTTTGCTAGAAGTCTGACGGGGGACATACCCCATACTTAACTTTGCATAAGAACTGCCAGTACTTTTAAAAAAATCTTTGACCTGATAAGTTTTCCCACCACCTTCTTCTGAAACGCTTATTCGAAGTGATATAATCGACCTTTGTCCTACTAAGGAAAAACTTTGATTCCTCTTCCCCTCCCCAATCGAGGGATCAAGTTAAATAAGCACAGTTGGTTGAAGAGTGTCTCTTTAAAAAAAAAAAAACGCCTTGAGGGTCTTTCCTAATTCTTAGTGACAACTTGTTCTGGTACTGGCTACAAGAGAACAGCAACTCAGTACTATGTGTGGCAGATTGCTTTGCTTTCACTTCAAGAACTAAATCTCCTATCCCCTAGATTTGTGCTTCCTTCACTCCCAACAGGCTCTATACTCTAGTTTGCTTCTGATGCCAATGTATTAACTGTCTCCCCCTTCTCTCCAATTCATACAGGTGCTGGTAAGATTCATGTACTCGGTCAGCAAGGGATACAGGAAGATTACTTACCACAACTGGCGGCATGGCTTTAACGTGGCACAGACCATGTTCACACTTTTAACGGTATAGCTTATGTGCAACTACTCTGTGTGCCCTCTTCACTCCAAAGCACAGCTTTATTTACAGGGACTCATATGCAGTGAGCAGAAATCGTGTGTGTTTCCTTACAAGTATCTGCCAAAGTCCTTTTCTGAAAAAGTCCTGTTAGTCAAATACAAAAAGTAATGTAGCTCCTCATTCACACCACACACGTGGGTCTTGGTGTCCCTCTAGTGGCTGTTGCACATAAATGTAGGACTTGGTTATCACTTCTAACTGATGAACATAGTCCTTTAGTAAATTACAGAAGGGTCGCCGTGTTAGTCTGTAACTTTAAAAAAAAAGAATGGTTTTGTGGCACCTTAGAAACTAACCAAACTATATAGAAACATGAGCTTTTGTGGGCAAAACCCACTTCATCAGATGAATTGGAGTGTAAATAACAGAAACCAAGGCCTGGTTTACACTACAGCAGAAGGTCAAATTGAAATACGCAACTCCAGCTATGTTAGTTACATAGCTGGAGTCAATGTCTCTTAAATCAAGTTTCCCCACTGTCTTCACAGCAGGAGGTTGATGGAAGCAACCGGTCCCATCAGCTTCCCTTACTCCTCATGAGGTGCGGGAGTACCGGTGCTGGTGGGGGCACCCTCTGAGTTCAATTTAGCGGGTCTTCCCTAGACCTGCTAAATCAAACCCTGGAAGCTTGACCGTGGCAGTGTCAATCTTCCACGTAGGGAAATCGTGGCCTAAGAGATTTAACAACAGCCCCAGGAACAGCTGTTTAGAGCAGAACCTTTCCCTTCACAGAGTTAACATTTTATGAACAACCGCCCAATGAGAGCTGTCTGAAATGGAGCAGAAAACACCAGCCACTGTCCTATGATGTAGCAGAGCCACCTCACTTTTCAGAAGTGCCTGGGAGCTGCAAGAGGAATTAGACATAATGCTTCCCTGAATTCCCCCGGGGCAATTAGGTTCCATGCCAGATTCAACATAGATCTGTGCTTAGCCAGTTTCAGACCACCTTTGGAAGGAGCTTGTACTCTGACTCCAGCACTCGAATGCTATGGTGATAAGTAACGTTAGCAAGTTGAAACATACTAACATACACCCATGCTCTGATCTTGAAATGTTTCCCCCCTTTACTTCCTGCAATTCTTGTGCTCATTCTAGCAAGTGTTTGGTATGCAGCTTCACAAATTCCACACTTAGTTCTTTAACTGTGCTTAGTGCAATATATGCCTATTCCCATAGAAGACTCACTTGGAATTATTTTCTATCAGAAATATGAATGGAAGGATATGATTTCTCTTCCCCTAGACTGGCAACCTAAAGCGTTACTACACAGACCTGGAAGCCCTTGCTATGGTCACGGCAGCTTTGTGTCATGATATTGATCACAGAGGAACCAACAATCTGTATCAGATGAAGTAGGTACTTTGCTGTTGCTTTAAATGATTCAATTCATTGGGTGCATATAGGCCTTGTCTACGCTCCATCAACCTAAGATAAACAACTTCAGGTATGTGTCTAATGTAGCTGAAGTCGACATACTTAGGCCTGCTTACTATGATATCTTTACCGTGGTTGACAGCTGACGTTCTCCTGTCGACTCTCTTTACTCTTCTCATTTTGGTGGAGTACTGATAGAAGAATGCTTGGTGGTCGATTTATCATGTCTGTACTAGACGTGATAAATCGACTACCACTGGATAGATCACTGCCCGTCAACCCAGCCTGTAGTGAAGAAATGCCCATAGTGGTAGAGTGAGATCAGACTAGGTTCACACCCTGTTCTCATTGTCTAAAGCCTGAAACACCTCTCAGCGCCTCAGCCTTCTGCAAGCTTCTCCTACCACTAGTTTTGCTGGAGGTCTCTATAGAGACAGATACAGGTTGAACCTCTCTAGTCTGGAACTCTCTGGTCCAGCAACATCCGTTGTCTGGCATGATTTTAGTTAGCCAGATGTCCACTTATTGTGGGTGTGGCCAAGTTTCCCACAGTCCCATAAAATTTGTTTACAGCCACCAGTCCTGGCTCTCAACGGTCTGTGCTGTTAATTAGCTCTAATTTACCCCTAAATGTCTTCTAAGGGTCCTGCAGGCAGTGGCAGTGTTGGTAACGATGCTAGACAATATTAACCTCCCGTGGTTCGGCAAATTCTTTGGTTCAGCAACTGACCAAGAGCGCCAGACTAGAGAGGTTCTAACTATACTCTGGGAATACAGAGGAAGCTGTAGTTCTATCGTGCAGGCTCAGTTGTTTGGCCAAAGGCAAGGTTCATTTTTTTAAAGGTGGGAGATTAAGCTAGTGAGACACAGGGGAGGGGCAGAGGCACACACATTGTGCATGGCTCACAAAGCTTAAGCTTCAAAGAGGGAGTAAGGAGTGACCTGGTCCTAGGGACCCCGCTGGCACACAGCGGGTTTGTGAGCAGCAGGCTGGGCAGCTACCCCTTGCAATTACATCCCACGATGCACTCTGCTCACGGCTAGGGTCTAAGGCAGAACAGACAGCTGGCAGCAGTATACAACCTCCCTGCATCAAGGGCTAGTCACGCCTCTGCAGCATAAGCAATGCACCCTCCGGCTTGCTGGCTTTAGTACCCTAACGCCCTGAAGATACCCTCCCAGGCTGCTGATGCACATGGACGCTTGCGCATGAATTGGTGGCACCTCTCACACACATTCCCTGTACAGGATTTAGTGGTGTGCAAGGGTTTTACTGTCAGGGCTTTGCACAGAGTTTTAGGGAACAGTGGTGGAATCCCCGTGCAAAGGCTGCTGCTTTTCCTGGGTTTTTTTTAAATCATCTATGTTAAGTCCCTAGTGTAGAATAAACCTAGTCACACATTACAGTGAAGGGCATTTATTAAGGGTTAATCGATTATTGAAAGATATAAGCATGCTTGACATGAGTAAGTGTTTTGATGGTTACAAATCCTGCAGTGAAAAGCATTACAGCTGGTTAAAAGCCCTACAAAGTTTTTGATCTGTTGGACTCAGTGGAGAAGCCATTTATTTAAAATGTTACCTGTTAACCCTTTATCCACTAGTTAAACCTAGATCTAAAGTGTGTGAAAAACTGAAATATTAAATAGGACCTTTTGTGAAACTCCCTTGTTCATTAGCGTTGCACTAACATTTTGACTATTTAATTTGCACAATTAGGTCGCAACATCCTTTAGCAAAACTTCACGGTTCATCAATTTTAGAGAGACACCACTTGGAATTTGGAAACTTCTTGCTGTCAGAAGAGGTTGGTAATGCACATTATTAATGGAGGAGTTTGGTTGATTTGCTTTCAGCTGAATTTTAAATGATGTACACTACAATTGTTCAACACGCTCCGGTGCCTACTGGGGCTCTAAATCGAGATAGCACGTCTAGATTAGGGAAGCCTGCCTCGGACTAATTTTGAGGCTTTCCTGCAGTATAGATGTGCTATTTCAAAATAAGCTATTTTGGAATAACTATTCTGGAATAGTTTATTTCAAAATAAGCATGCAGTGTAGATATACCCTCAGATTTTCTCTTGGCTGAGTTTCTCTTGGCAGAGTTTCTCTTGGCTTCCCTGTAAAATCCTGCAGTACTAAAAAGTTCCCTTGCTTTTCTTGCCAAACTCTGGCACACGACCTGTCCCACAGGGCCTACCACAATTGGGTTTCAGGTGCTACTACAACATAAAATGCTAAACAAATCAGCATGTGATTACTCTCCAGATTTGTCAGCCTCTTCCCTGAACATAGCCCATGGGGGTAATGAAAATGAAACCAGATGATTTGCAGCTCTTGCAACTCTAATCCCTTCACGTAGAATCTCCAACTCCCATGTTTTATCTGACACTTCCAAATATCTGAAGCCTGTGAATACTTCCCTGTGTTGCAGATATTTCCTTAGATGCAAACTTTCAATCCTCTAGCTAGGAACAGTCAAAGACATAGCTACAGTCAGCCTCTACCATCTCTAATTTGGTACGGTCACTCTCTGGATAAAAATACTTTCCCATTACACGGCACTCTCCATCAGAGACTCTCCACCAAGCACTTCACACAGATAAGTGTAGTTTGCCTCACAGCTGCCTCGCGAGGTAGGCCACTGTTCTTCCAGTTCTACAGCTTAGGTAAATGGAGGAGCAGAAGTTAAATGACTTGTCCAGGCATCTGTGACAGCACCAGGGAGAAACTTTGAACAGAAGTGTCTTGAGTAAGAGGACTCAGCACCCACTGACATATTTCATCACAGGACCATCCTTTCCCCCTATGGATCAAATAATGACAAACTCATTCAGCTAAATTTTTACCTCAGGCCAGCTCCCATTGAAACCAATGGGAGTCCAGGCATATGCTGAGTAACACCTTACAGGTACTGGGCCCCGTCCAATGAGCATTTCAATCAACATGTGTCGTTCCATGGTTGTCAGCAGGGACTGGATTGAGTCCCCATTCCTGCATTCTGACTGTAGCTGAATGTTACACAAGGACTCAACGCCCATCTTCTGAGATGAGCGCTCCCCAAGTCGTCCAGAATCATGCACTAAACTTTGTTTTCCTTTAGTCCCTGAATATTTACCAGAATCTCAACAGGCGACAGTTTGAGCACGTGAACCATCTGATGGAAATCGCTATCATCGCAACTGACTTGGCACTTTACTTCAAGTGAGTGAGTCGTGTATTTCCGGCAAGCCCGTTGGAAATAGCTTGTACTTCCTCTTAGTCTAAAATATCACACCTGATCCTCCAGGCTCTCTGGGGGCAGAACTCTTCTTTGCAGAGGCTCTGGCGTCAAGAGCTCATGGGCGCTGTTGAATATAACTCAATTCAAAATCCTTTCCAAAGACTGGTTTTGATCTAAATAGACCCTTTTTTAATAACTGATTGTTGTTAGTTTTCTGGTTTCAGTAGTTAGTTGCACTATTAATACATTAGACTTCAGATTTTTTTTTATATATACTAAGAAGTTTCATAGAAAAAAAATACTGATCAATGCCAAAGAGCAGTCCTTGGTCCTGTGCACACCCATTTGAGCTTCAGATGAAACGTAGATAAAAGCAAATGGCCAACGGTCTATTTCAGCGATGGGCAACCAAGAACAGTGGATGGGCTGCATAAGTGGCCCTCCTTCATCTCAGTGGGCCGCAGCAGCTCATGGCCAACTGGGGTTCCACCTGTGAACTCCCTATCTACCCTCCCCCACATGTACCCCCATTCCTCCCCCCTCCCAGTGCTTTCAGAGCGCACAAATCACCTGATTTGCATGCCATCCCCACTCCTCCCCCTCCTTCTCAAGGCCTGAACAGCCATGAACAGCTGATTCACCTTGTTCCAGCTCTGGAACAGGGAGTGTCAGCCGACGGTCAGGGCAGTGTGTGTGTGTATGTTTCCGAGAAAAGGTTTAACGTCCGTGCCTTTACTGCTAGGACCGGGGTCCCATCGCAGAGGGTGGCCAGCAGGCCAACAGACGCCCCGTTATATAGGAAGAGCTTATTACATCTTAGATTTCAGCTGCTAGAATTCCATAATTCCTTCGCAGCGGGCAGCCTTGAGGAAAGACTGAAAGATGCCCCAGTGGGTCCTGTCACCTGGGAGTGACACAGATCCAAACGCCCAAGCTCTTCCTATAACTGTCCCTTTAGACCGGCTGAAGTTCTTTTAAATTGTGCTTGGTTCTGTTACAGCAACTGAAGGAGTCAGGTTAAAGCTTAAACAGTTACAGGTTTATTGAGGCAGCTTATAAATCATATGGTTGCAATGGCTATTGTTCTATTTCTTAACTATTAGCAAAATATAGGTCTTAAAAATGGTTACAAAGAAGATAAAGATAGAAAAATAGAAATAATGGTACCAAGTAACAGCTTACTCTTTCTATGTGTACACTTAAGACAGAGGACCACATCCAGGTACCATTTTTACCCCCTTCTGTGCCTCTCGACTCCAGCATGTCAGGCCAGGGCCGGTCCCTCAATTCCTAGGAAAGACGAAAATACGAGGTGGGCGTCCCCATAGAACCTCGGGAGGTCAAACACCTAACCCGACCAGCAGGTAGAGGGTAGAATGACACTCAAAGTGAGTGTGTGCTGGGCCCATCTTTTATAATCATGGGGTCACGTATTTCTCTTTCTTATCTTAATTGCCAATTGATGCTGGTCTGTCTGCTGTGAGACCAGTTCTTACAAGGGAGTTGTGAACTTAATTTACACTTGTAAGAGAGAATTGAGATGATTAAATTTTGAAGTACTGGACATTGTTTTCTCAGTGGGAAATTCCTCTTCCTGGGACTGTGTGTGTTCGAATCAACATAGGTGCCAGCCGCAGCCTCGAGGCCAGCTTATTGACTTAGCTGCTCTCTATCCACATATCTGTGTTTCAGCTTCTCAGGATCAGATGAGCCAGCATAGACTATGCTGATATTATTGCTCCTTCTCTGCCCTGTGCTTCAGAGAGGCAAATAAGATGGATGATATGGAGGCAGGCTGTCTGGCCACAGGGAGGGAGCATGAATCGGCAGGTTTGGGATGCTCCAAAAGCGCTGGGAGGGAGGGGAAGGAGTAGAAAGTGTGGGGCTCCAGTACCCCAGTGATATGTAGGGGAGAGGGTTAGACAGGGGATCCGCAGGCTGCAGGTTGCCCACAACTGGTCTACTTGCAGCTAACCTTGCGCTATAATTAATTTCCACAAGCCATAACTGGGCTTTACTCCTCCAACAGGGTTTGTGTGGAGTGTAGGTGCAGAGAACTAGGCTCCAAAACAGGGCTGCCTTTCCAGGAGGCATGTGCCTAGGGGGGCCAGCATGCTAGGGCTCCTTTCCCCTCTAAAACTGTGTGCAACATGAAGGGCAGCTGTAGATGAGTGTGCGCTGAAGATGCTGTGATAAAGGACATATAAGGTGTAAATTCAGCTTTGCTCTGAGGTCATCAAGTTGCTTTGGAAAACACAGTCCTTAGCTGCCAAAACACAGGGCTAACATTAGGCTCCTATTCTGAAAACATTAGTCAGCATAGAAGGATATTCACAATAACTTTCAAGTACGGAAAGGGTAACTTCACTGTTAGTGCAGGAACCATTTTATTTAGCAGTGAACATTGCATGCCACTAAGAAATACCGTTGCAGTGATTGGGGAATTTCTGAGATTTACATGGCGAGGATTTGTGAATTTGTGAAAATATAAGAAATCAAGACAATTTTAGCTGCTCGTGGTGCAAACACACGTGCAAATGATGAACTTCAGGCACACGAGCAGTTCCAGTGAAGTTATGTATCTGCTTGACACAGCTTCGGGATTAGGAATGTTAAAATGAGTGTAATTAAGTAACTGTATAACCACTGAAAATTTCAGCTGTTACATGGTTATATGCAGAGTGGCAGTTGGCTCCCCATGAGTGCCCTCCTGCCTCTGATACAGAGGCAGCAGCACAGGGCAGCAGGTGGCTCCCCAGGAGCCGGTGTGTGTGGGAAGCCAGCTTTTAAGCCAGCTCTCCACACATACTGGGTATGTCTACACTTGCCCCCTAGTTCAGACTAGGGAGGTAAATTAAGAATACTGAAGTTGCTAATGAAGCACAGGATTTAAATATCCCGCGCTTGATTAGCATATTCGCGGCTGGGTGCCATTTTAAAATGCTGGTCGCCCGATTTAACTTGCCGCGTGTAGATGCTGTAGTCCAATCCAAAACCCTTCCCTCGAATGAACTGTTACTCCTCGTGCAATGAGGAGACTATTTGTTGTTTTTTAAGTTTATCCTGTACAGACTAACTCGGCTACCTCTTTGAAGATTTATAATCTAGTTCAGCATAAGTTTTTATCAAAAGTTGCAATGACACAACTTTTAAAATTGTATTGACAAAGCCTCAACCTGACAAAAACCAATTTTTACACCATTTAAGTGCTTTTAAATACTCTGTTTTATTTAAAAGATTCAAATAACAATCATAGCTGTGGTGGGCACTTGGCTGGGGTAACACCCAGGCAGCAATTCTAGGAAGGAGGGAGTGATCATGTCTAGTGTTTCCATGGGAAATCCAAACAAGAGCCGTTAACACCATCTTTAATGCATAAAAGAAAGAGGACTATGTTCCAGAAGATTGTTGATGAGTCCAAGACATACGACAATGAAAATGCCTGGACTGAATATCTGTCTCTGGAGACCACGAGAAAAGAGATTGTCATGTGAGTAAATAAAAACCTCTTCATTGGCAACTAGTGGAGTGACAACTACGCCCCTATTAAGTAAGTGTCTGTTAAGAACCGATTGGATAGTTTAGCATAGCAAGCAGTATTTTCCTATGAGAGATATTAAGCAAACATTTTAGTTCTTAATGAATCCTGGAACCAAAATACAGTGGCTTTGCATTCTGGAAAAACACAGCATGCAGTCATGTGGAACTCTTTGCCAGGGGATGGAATGAAGGCCAAAACTATAGATAGTTGGTTAAAAAAAGAATTTGATACGTGGACAGAGAATGGGTCCATCAGTCATTATTAGCCAACATGGTCAGGAATGCAACACCATTCTCTGCATTTCCCTAACCCTGTGATTGCCAGAAGCCAAGAGTGAATGACGGGGAGGAATCACTGGATAACTACACTGCCCTGTTCATTCTCTCTAAAGCCCTGACCACTGGCGGCAGACAAGATACGGGCCCGGATGGACCACAGATCTGACCACTGTAGCCATTATTATGATCATTACATTCTGACACTTGTCTAGTGGTAATAATTGAGACTGAGGCATGGTCTAGCATATGTTCCGGAGCACTAGCAATAATGAAATAGAAACATCACACCTCGCTGCAGGCTCTGGTGCTGAATCTTTGCTACAAAGTTGCATGGGACTGGTGGGAATGAGCGTAGCAGTAAGAGCTAAAAGGCAAGACACATTGAAGCACTAGTATTAACTCTACTGGTTTACAAAATGTCTCGCTCTGGTTCTTCTCTATCTTTGATGTTTGGGGCGGGCAGGAGGGAGAGAGATGGTGCAAAGTGGAATGTTATTAAACTACAGGAGCCAGTGGGAGCAGGGTGAAATGCTTTAGAACGGAAACTAACTCCTGTTTCGGTTCTGTTCTCCAGGGCCATGATGATGACGGCCTGTGACTTATCGGCAATTGCCAAACCCTGGGAAGTGCAGAGTAAGGTCAGACGCCTGATGCGCAATGTACTCCAATATACTGAAACCAGGGCTGTCCATTCATCACAGTTAACACGTGCAATTAATTTAAAAAGTAATCGGGATTAAAAAAATTAATTGCAACGAATGGCACTGGTAATCAATAGAATACCAGTTGACACGTATTAAACATTTGAGAAGTTTTTCTACATTTTCAAATATATCGATTTCTATTACAACACAGAGTACAAAGTGTACAGTGCTCACTTTATTACAAATATTTGCACTGTAAAAATGATAGTTTTTTTTCAGTTCACTACAAACAAGTACTGTAAAAATGCAAGTACAAACAAGTACTGTACACTTTTTATTGTGAAAGTGTAACTTACATATGTAGAGTTTTTTGTTAAGTAACAGCACTCAGAAACAAAACAATTTAAAATTTTACTGCCTACAAGTCCACTCAGTCCTACTTCTTGTTCAGCCAATTGCTAAGACAGCGTTTACATTTACGGGAGATAATGCTGCTTACTTCTTATTTACAATGTCACTTGAGAATGAGAACAGGCAATTTAAAGGGCCCAGGGCTCCGGGCGCCACTGTCCATTTCCCCTTCCCCACCCTCCGCCATTGGTGGGCCTGGACTTTCCACAACCTCGACCTCATTGTTAACTCCTGCAAAGGGGCACTGGAAGAGCTGTTCTTATGACTGATGCAAAGGAGCAAGACACTGAAGAGTCTGCTACCAGAACCATGGCGTTTTGGTTCTGCACTTTCTAACTCATCTCAGTGGTGTGATCCTGCTGTGAATATGGTAACTCAGGGCTTGTCTACTCTCAAGCCACCAAGCAGCAAGCAAAGGTACGACTCTCCAGCACTACCAACACAACAACAACCTCCTACGTGGCCACAGAGCCAGACCAGCATCCCATGGGACGATACTGTGTGCAGCAAGCTGCCCTGCTGTGGTCACAGCCTGGCTTGCCAGCCACTAACTCCTCATGTAGACACACTGGTCAGAGGATCAGAGGCAGGATGCTCAGAGGAGCTGAGATTCGACAGGGAGGCTTGCAGGGTAAAGGAGCAGGAACTGGAACTCTCCTGTTAATGGAGACAAACACGTTCAGATTCAAATGCCAATCTGACAGTAGCTCTTTTTCCAATGCAGGTAGCTCTCCTAGTGGCAGCTGAATTCTGGGAACAGGGAGACTTGGAAATCAGTGTGCTTCAGCAGCAACCTATCGTAAGTATATTCGAGGAGCAGAAAGAGCTCAGACCGGTTCATTGCCTTCTAACAGTGACCGCAACACATGAACAGGGCATGGGAGTCCCTCACCAGAAAAACAAAACATAGGGGGAAAGCCCACCACCACCCCTAGCCTTGCTCTTGTAATAGACATGAAAGCTGACGTCCATGACATACACGTCACAGGTTCCAAAAATCTAGCTCTGCTAGTGAATGTGCTTAAAAAACCAAACTGTTTATTTGGTTTAAGAATCCCCCTTAGCATTTATTGAGAATCCTTCAATCTGGTACACCGGTGAGGGGGACAATAGAAAACCGTATGTAAGGACAGAAGTGGGGAAGAGAGACTGTAGCTTGCTCACAATAAAATGATGAAAATCCCTAGCCCTATAGTTTCGTTGTTTGTGCGGGAGAAGGGAGAGGGCAGAGGAGGAAAGCTCTGGAGAATAATGGAAGCAATAGGCTGATTTGTGACACCCTTCCCGGGAAAGCAGAGGTGGCATTTCAAGAGAAACCCTGTTCTCTTCCAGCCTATGATGGACAGGAAAAAAGCTGCTGAGCTGCCAAAGCTTCAAGTCGGGTTCATTGACTTTGTGTGCACGTTTGTCTATAAGGTAAGTGATTTGCCCGGTGAGGAATGAACGCTGCTGGGTGCACCAAGAATGGCGTTTTTAAAAGTACTTACTCCAGCAAAAGTCATAGGAACAAATTTCTCTCCCATCAGGGAGACTTGACCAACACCGAATGTTTATCAAAACGACGCATGCGAGTCTCTGCCCAACCTCAGACACTGCGGGCAAGCTCTGTGCAGGACTCCTCCCACCATTACTGTACCAACATGCCCCTTCCACTCTTACCCTCCTTCCCCTGATAAAGTAGGGCAGCGGTGGGGAACCTAAGGCCCAGGGGCTGGATGTGGCCCCTGGTTTACCTGGATCCAGGCCCCGAGGCTTGGGGCTCCTCCTCAGCATTAAGGAGCCCACACTGGCCCTCCACCCCCACCCCCA